TCTATGCTCCCTATGTGTTAGTTATTTATGCTGGATCATCGTTCGCGTTGTGGGCTTCTTTGGCAAACGTTGGACATGTATGGACTCCACCACTGTATGGGGGAATGACGCCAGATGCTGGGAGAAACTATCATTGGATTAATACGCCAGTATTGAATCTTTCTATCGGAAAGAAATTTAACTTCACACAACCAATAGACATAAGTAGTGCTAACAAGCTTATCGAGTGGCTGAGAAATGCATGATTGTGATGTTCGAGATGCTCTAGTTAGCATTGATTTAACTACTTCACTTTTTCAACTTTAAACTGTCGTAATAATACTTTGGACTTTCAGGCTGTTCTGAACACTCCTTTGATTGATAGGGCTTAGAAATTTGAATCAATAGTATAATATTTTCATGAATACTAGAAATTCTTCGAAGTTTTTGATTATATAGTTACTACTAATTTCTTTCTTCTTTGTCTTGGCATTCGTACAACGAAACAATAGTAAGATATTTTGAAGATAAAAAAAGACCTAAAAGCTTAAATGTTAATCTAGACATAACTCTTCATGATGGTGTTGATAGTATGAAGTTGTCCTATATGAAAATCCTTGTACTTGTGTGTAGATTAATTGCATTGTTTATTGCTCTTGGATTAAATCAAATTCAAGACTAGCCCTTACGAAAACTTAGAATCATGACAAATGACTTATAGTAATCCAAAAATAGTGGTAGAGTCATTTCAGTTCGTTATGAAAAGTTTAAATAAATATTCTCTCTCAGTGGATCCACTAGTAGAAACAGTGCTCTAGTTTGCTATGGTATTTTATCCTTCTTCAACTAATATCATATCAATAATATTTTGATCAGATCTGTTTGCTGTAATATATAAAGGCACTCATGGCCAAATTTTCTGCGAAAAAACGCGTTTCCAAAAAGTTTTTCCTGATTGCTGCGAAATGCGATTCGACTGTTCTATCATGCACTTATTTATGGTCGTGGCAATCTAATATAAGCCGCAATCAATATTCGAACTGTCCTCAGAAATGAATTCGAACAGGAAAACAGATGATAAAATACATTATTAAATAAGCAAAAAGTCACTGAGCTAAAGCAACTGTAAGAACAACACTATTTATTGTAGCGTGATTTAGATTTTATCAATATAATTATAGATTTCATATGAATACATTTTCAATATTGTCTTAAGACTAGTAGAATCTCGGTTTTTTTCTCGCTATTCTAAGTTTAGTCTATATTTATAGATAGAATAAGACGAAGGGCCCTGTGTACTCTATTGTTCGTTCTTAGCCGACTCGAATTCATTTGGATAGATCCTTAAATTACTTGAGCTAGAATAAAATCCACAATTCAAGTGCTACATAAATTTTTCGTGTATGATACATGGTGCTAAGAATGAACAGGGCATTGTCGACAACCCTGTTAATGATTTTAAAAAATGGTTTTATTTACTGTATGTTATCAATTTCCATTAATAAAATAGTTTTGCATGTAAAAAAAAGTCTTGATAAAACATATATCTTGGATTTCCGTCGACTTATAGGTAATTTGAGAGAATCAAACGTAGACAGGTAGAATGAGAATTTCATGCTGTTTTCTAGATATATAATCATTTAGAAGTTTCTTCTGACTTAAAGTTAACTTAGTGAGAACAAATATTTGATGGGAACAAAAACCAGCGTTTGTATCGAAATTTTCATGTAGCCCATTTTTTTATGTTGATTGCAACTGCCTAAAATAAAATTATATGAATGTCCTCTTATATGCAAGTTTGTAGAACATAACTTGCTCTACAAAATGCTCATTTTGTTTCGCTTCCTACTGATCGTTGCAAACTATCAGAGTCTGTTAAATTTAAAACATCGAAATTCGGCAACAATGTTTGTTTAAAAAAAAAGAATCTCATCTAAAGAGTGCTATTTTGGAACCTGTAGGTAGATCTTGTCTATTTTGAATTTTAGCTTATTGGAACCCATGAATTAATAGAGTTTTGAATTCTCTACAATAATAGAAGGTAAAAACTATCCTAAAATACCCTTTCGATAAAATGCTCATGATTGAAAAGTCTATTTTGTGTAGATAGTTGGCTACATCTAACCAGCCGTAAGTCAGAGTAAAATTGTAAAGATATATTTAGAAAGAGCATCAGATTTTGCTTCTAATTAATAGCTTTGATATCCTTAAATCATATTTAAATATTCGAAAAATGAGTAAAGATGATTACTCAGGTCTCTGAGTTTAGTTGTTTATACAGACGTTGTTTTTGGTCGTCTAACACTGAATATTTGCTCTCATTAAATTAACTTTAAGTCAGGAGAAAATTCTAAATAATTATGTATTTAGAAAATAGCATAAAATTCTCATTCTAGCTTCCTACTTTGAATTCTCTCCTGCAACCTATAAGTGAACGAAAATCGGACATATATGTTGCACACCGACATCAGTCCCGTAGACAAACTATAGATGGCTAGTTGTGTGATATGAGTCAAGGAAGAAAACTCAGGGTACACAAAAGTCGCACTGACTCATTCTAAAAACTTGAAGTTACAAAGGCTTGCATAAAAATCAATGCTAGAAATTAAGACGCAAGAGTTCTGCTTGAAAATCCGTTTCAAAAGCTTCAGGCAACATAGTCATGTTTTACTGTTAGAGTGAATCAGTACAGACACAAGAAGTAGACGTGATACTGAAAAGAGAAAGTGCAGGTCGCATGGTAATGGGAGTCAATATTGAAGAACACGTATAGAATACAGATTAAGCTAAAAACTATGACAAAAGTATTCTAGTGCAAGACAGTATTAGTGAAGGAGTGAAGTGGATAGCTTAAACATGTGAAGTGATTGTAAATAACCAGTGTAAAATTATTCCCTATCTAAGATGAAATATGTAAGGATATCGATAGAATATTTTAGGTGGCAGAGAAATATGAAATATTGGAAAGATGGAATTGAAGGTCAAAATGAATTTTAAACCTTGTGACTAGACATAATGGTGCATACTATTATTTCAAAATCATAGTGTTAATGGATCAGATATTTATTCAGTTATTCATCCGTTTATCTAAGTGACTATTCTTTGCTTAAAAAACTTGCTGCTGTTATTTTACATGACATTGTTCGCTGATTCTGATCATCTCTTACTTCATATGTATGTTATCTTAAACTGTTTGATCTTGATATGTTGATTTCAACTGCTTGTTAAAAATTGTATCGAAAAGTTTAATTAAAAATAGACCTCTTTCAAAATGTTGGTAATTCTCTTTTATCTATTCTTCACCAATAGATAGCGTATCAAATTAATGTGTTTATTTTTCTAATCATCTTTTTTCCGTTCACTAAATCCTGTGTGTTTTATTATGGAGTATAGATGTGTGGTTGAAGAAAGGACACGAATCCCGCACGTTGCACCCAGCGACAACCACTCACAGCTGGGAACCGGAAAGTTGAGCACGAGGAAAGATGAGCACGGAAAGTTAAGCACGGAAAGTTGAGCACAGAGAAAGATAAGCACGGAAAGTTAAGCACCGAAAAGATAAGCACAAGGAAAGTTCAGCACCGGAAAGTTGAGCACGAAAAGGGAAATTACTTTAGACATGGTGATAATGAGCAGCCCGGGGGAACACAGCTGATTTTAAGATTTCAAGACTTCAGAAGATTTCATGAGACTCCAAAAGATTTCAAGAGATTGCAACATCAGAAACTTCAAATTTTTGAAAGATTTCGAAAGACTTTAAAAGACTTTTAAGAACTTCAAAGGATTTTTCGGAACTTCAAGAGACTCCCAAAGGCTTCATGGAACTTCATAAGACTTCATGAGACTGCATGGTACTTCCAAAGACTTCAAAAGATTCATGAGACTACAAGAGATTTCATAACCAGAAAAAAAATCACAGACTTCAAGATTTCAAGACTTTGCAAGACTTCAAAAGGCTTTACGAGACTTCAAAAAGTTTCAAGAAATTTCTAAAGATTTTAAGAGATTTTATAGGACTTCAACAGACTTTCAAGATTTCACAACTGAAACCCCTGCTGTTTCCCCTTTGGGGCAGACGAATGCTGAGCGTAGATGTAGAGTGGGTGACTGTTGGTGAAGGTGAGTTGGTGTAGATGCAAGTGAGTGTGGGTGTGAATGGGATAGGTGGCTATGAGCTCGCAAGGTGTATATAACAACTTGATCCCTATTCACATCCATATATACACCCGTCCATCGACGCACATTCATAACCACTCGGCTACCTCACCGACCCTCATATGTCTACCTCTACCCAACTGTCCATTTCACCGGCACCCACTTGCCCATCCTCACCTGCACTCACTTGTACCTACCCTCTCTACACTTCTTCCCCCACCTACACCTACACTCAGCATTCGTCTGCCTATTAACGCCATGTCGAAATTAATTTCCATTTTCGTGCTCAACTTTCCGGTGCCGAACTTTCCTTGTGCTTATCTTTCCGGTGCTTAACTTTCCGTGCTTATCTTTCTCTGTGCTCAACTTTCCGTGCTTAACTTTCCGTGCTCATCTTTCCTCGTGCTCAACTTTCACCAATCCCTCACAGCTACATTCTCGTTATTCGCTTTTGTTTTCGCCATTTTGACTTTTTGTCTAAAATAGGATACATCCAAGTTAATAGCTGCTGCATTATTTATAGATTTATTTGTAGAAACTCGTTTACCGGACTGAAAAAATTATCCAATCTTATTTGAATGATCTAATTATAAAAAACTGACTGATGGTAAGTTCTATCACACAAACTAAAAAAAATCAGATGATTAATTTTCCTTATAGATTAATTTGACTATTGATGAAATTTGTAATCTGATGAAAAAAAGGAGAAACATTCAAAATATGGCCATTATTGCTCATTTTGGTCATGGAAAATCAATATTAACTGACTTACTTGTGTACAAAGCTGGTTTTATTATTTCACAGAAGGCTCATGAAATGCTTTTCAGTAATGCACGAAAACTTGAAAAAGAACGATATATTAAAACTACATCAACGTAGGATAGAAAAAAAACTTTGTTTTAGTTTTCATCATAGAAATTCATACTTAGAACTATTTCACTTTATTATGAATTACCTGCTAAAGATTTAGAACTCACCAAACAAGAGTGTGAACCCAATGTATCGTACTTTTTAATTAGTCTTATTGACTCACCAGGTCACGTTGATTTTTCCTCGGAAGTTAGCGTTACTTTATGTATTAGCGACGGTGCTCTCGTTATTGTTGATTGTACCTCAGGTAACAATTATTTCTTGAATGAATAGAGTTGCTTTTTTTTTTTATTAAAGAATTCTTTTTTCGAACTTAAGGAGACCGTTTACAAACTGAAACTGTTCTTCGTCTAGCTATTGCTGAACATGTTAAACCAATTTTATTTATAAATAAAATGGATCGTGCTTTACTTGAATTAAAACTCGAACAGGAACATCTTTTTCAAACATGTCGACGTATTGTTGAAAATGTCAATGGTATCATTTCTACTTATGGTAATAATACTAGTCCAATGGGCGATTTACAAGTAAGTCAAAAAGAAAGCAAACAAACAACTTTTGTCTTTGCTGAACATATAAAATTCGCGAATCAAAGAGATGTATTTTGTTATTCTTTTCGAATATAGCCTTTCAATTCGAGCTGCCGACTTATCAGGTAGAGTTTGTCGGATTAATTTCGAGTACGAAAATTTTGGATCTAATGTGCTCTACTGCCAGGCTAGTTGTGACTCATATATTTTGGAAATCACATGTGCTGTTGCATCACCTTATTATTTCAGTGTATTTTGACAGACGAACATCTTTGAGTCCAACATAATTGCATGAAGTATTTTGCATTCGCTCATCTCTTAGTTGTATGCGAGTTCAAGCCTTTCTCTTATGAAAAACATCTATGGTGATTTTCTCTTTGTTTTTATTTGCACAATTTTCTGTGAACCCTCATTCTATAGGTTTTAGTTGAAAGAGCATGCCAAAGGGTAGTGGTCTTTTTTTTAAAATTCTTACTCTTTATGATGAGAAAAAGGATAACTAGTTCATGACCTCGAAAAATGATCATCTATTTATTGAAGTATCCTTTTTTGTCATACAATAATAAAAAAATTGAAGTAAAAAAAGCACTGCAGTGAAGCTCCATCAATCATTTTAGGATATGCTATCAGAAAAGTATACGATGGCGGAAATTACCAAAAATTTTAGCAAAAAAGGAATCAGATTTCGAGCTATCTTTTCGTGCATTTGCTTCTGTTTTGATTTTTTTGACAGAAATTGACTTTTTTGGAGTGGGAGAGGGTTTAAGTGAACAACTGAGATTAGAATGATATATACTAAAGCAGAGTTATAAAATTCTATGTATTCGAAAAAGTCAGAAACATCTATTGGCAGCTAATTCAATAAATTGATTATTTTAGGTTGATCCAACAAAAGGTATAGTTGGCTTTGGTGCTGGTCTTCATCGATGGGCATTTACATTAAATCAATTTGCTGAAATATATGCATCAAAATTTAAAACTGTAGTTGGTAAAATAATAAAACGACTATGGGTTGATCATTTCTTTTCACCAACAGAAAAGAAATGGTCAAAAACTGATGGAGAAGGTAAATTATTTCTAAAAAGAAAAACCAAAAACGAAAAGAAATCATTGTTCAATAACATATTAGGTTATATTCGAGGTTTTTGTCTATTTGTTCTTAGTCCTATATTCAAAGTATTCAAAGCTATTATGGATTGTAGAAGAGACGAATATACACAATTGTTTAAAAAATTAAATATTAAATTACAAGATAAAGAACATGATAAATTAGAATAAGGTGGTATATCACTTTTAAAACTTGCTATGCAACAATGGTTACCAGCTAGTGATGTTTTTCTTACGATGATTGCTATACATTTACCATCACCTGTTGTAGCACAAAAATATCGTGCTGAATTTATTTATGAAGTTATGTGTATAGAAAAAAATTTATGTTTTCTTCAATTAAGATTTATATCTATTTAGGTCCACAAGATGACGAAGCATGTTTAGCTATTAAAGAATGTAATCCAAATGCTCCATTGATGGTTTATATTTCAAAAATGATACCAACATTGCATAGAGGTCGTTTCTTTGCTTTTGGTCGTGTCTTTTCGGGTATTGTTAAGTCAAATCAATCAGTTCGTATTATGGGTCCAAATTATGTACTAGGTAGAAAAGAAGATCTTTACGTTAAAAATATTCATCGGTATGTAAAGTTAATTTTCTGTTTCTGCAAAATATGTCAAAAGTTTCATAGAGAAAAAAATCAGAATAGATATTCAACAAGACGAGCGATTAACATGAATTTTCTATAACTTATTTGTTTCTTTAGCGGGATTCTCCTTTCTTTCTCATGGTTATTTAAGGAACGACTTACCAGAAAAAATAGAAACATTCGCAATATGATACACCTTGATGAGTAGAACAAAAGCTGTACTAGACTCAAAATTTTCGGATGATTTCTTTCAGAAGATGTTGAAACTGGCCGTATTCAACAGTGTGGCAAGGTCATGATTCATGTTCTAAGCCCCGTTGAAAGGAATCATTAGCGAAATTTGGTATAGAATAGAACAATAGTCGCACGAGTTTTTTGTTGTAAGTTTTGAAAGTTCGATTTAATAAAAGCACTAACTAACAACAAAGACCCATCATTCATAAGGTATTTGCTATAAGTCACTTCAGGGCTGTATTAGCAATGTAAAACTAGAAATCGCCAAAAAAATCCGGTTTTCACACTTGACAATAACAGAGAGTTCCTCTTAAAGTTTTATTTAGCGCTGAATAGGAGTCACCTATGATTACAATAAGACGATAGTCAGTCGAGTTTGATAAAGAAAAAGCAAAAGAAGATGGTATTGAAGAGATATGTCAAAAATTTCTGATACTATTAACTAATTGTTTAGCAGGCCAGCCACATTCTGAAAGTCCTACAGAATCGAAAGGAAAAAGAACTATTAATATCAAGTATTCTGATTGGCTTTGGCAATAAACTACATCAGGTTTTAGACAACGTGTTCCGTAACAGATGTATTCAAAAAGATGTGTCTTTTCGATGTGTTCAGCAGTTACAACCATTCCAATTCCTTCCGTGAGAATGCATAGACAACGATGCTTTCATGATCATAATCAAAGGTCATATTGAAATCATAAGAGGAAACATTATGAAAAATACAAGAGCGTGAATGACCATGCGAGTTTCAATTCAGTATCATTATTTTAAACAGCGAACGTAAATAATATATGCGAAACAATACTTTGCGAGCAACCAAGCAAAAATATAAGCAATCTAGCCCTATTGTTCAAGATTTTTTTTCACATTGTTTTTGTAGACGAACTTTTTTTAAAAGTCTTCATATGAAAATTTATGATAATTGAATTTCCTATCCAAATTTTGATTTTCACTTAATTTGTTTTCTTCGAATAGAAAAAAAGCCAAAAATAATTATAATAATTCATTTTATTTGTTCTATGTTTAGAATAAATCTTATGATGGGTCGCTATATTGAACCAATTGAAGATGTACCATGTGAAAATATCTGCTGTCTTGTTGGTGTTGATCAATATTTAACTAAAACTAGTGCAATAACTACATATGAAAATGCATATAATCTTCGAGTATGTTGTTTTATTGGAGTTCTATGAACAATATTTGTATATATTGTAGGCAATGAAATTAAGTGTCACTTCTGTCGTACGTGTTGTTGTTGAACCAAGAAATCCAGATGATTTACCAAAATTAGTCGAAGGTTTAAAACATTTAGCTAAATCAGATTCTATGATTGAAGAAGGACTTTTTTTTTTGAATAATTATTTATGATGTCATTGTATATTAAAGTGCACTATCGAAGAATCTGGTGAACATATCGTAGCCGGTGTTGGTGTATTACATCTAGAAATTTGTCTGAAAGATCTTGAAGAAGATTATGCTTGTATTTCAATAAAAGTTTCTGATTCAATGGTATCATATCGTGAAACTGTATCTGAAGAATCCGAAATAATGTGCGTATCGAAATCACCTAATAAACATAATCGTATCTATTTAAAAGCTCGACCTATGCCTGATGGTAAAAAACAATCTTTATTTATTGGCTTTGAGAAATTCTTTGTCATTGACGTTTTGAGGTTTACCGGAAGATATTGATAAAGATGAAATAACATCACGTCGAGAATTTAAAGCACGTGCACATTATTTAAATGAAAAATATGATTATGATATAAATGAAGCACGTAAAATTTGATGTTTTGGACCTGAAGGAACTGGACCAAATTTTTTAATTGATTGTACTAAAGGTCTACAATACGAAAATGAAATAAAATATAGTTGTATTGTTGTTTTTCAATGGGCTACAAAAGAAAGTGTACTTGCTGAAGAAAATATTCGTGGTGTTCGTTTTGATATTCATCATATTATACTAAATAGTGATGCTATACATCGTGGTTGTGGCCAAATTATTCCAACAGCTCGTCATGCAATTTATGCATCAATGCTCACAGCAAAACCACGACTATTTGAACCAGTCTATTTATATGAAGTAGAAGTATGTTTAAAAAGTGCAAATTTTCATGTTCACAGAGTTATAATAATTGTATTTAGTGTCCAGAAGTTGCTCTTGGTAGTATTTATGGTCTATTAAATTGTCGTCGTGGTTATGTTTTTGAAGATCATCAAGTAGCTGAAACATCAATATTTATTCTTAGAGCTTATTTAACAAACAATGAATCATTTGGTAAGAGAATAATCTTGATTTTTTTTTATTCATATTTATTTTACTGCTGATCTTCGTTCTAATATAGGTGGTCAAGCATTTCCACAATATATATTTGATCATTGGACAATTATAAACCAAGATCCATTTGATGACTCAACTGAAGTTCGACAAATTATTAATGATATTTGAAAAAGTAAAGGATTAAAAGAAGGCATTCCATCATTCAATGATTTCCATGAAAAATTATAAAGAAGAAAAAGAAAGAAAAAAGATAATAGCTACATTTGCATATTTTTTGTGCATCTATATGACAAACTGTTTTTCTCGTTCGAGAATTTTCTGATTTCGTATAATCACCATCAGCACAAGCATAGAGAATTGATGTCAGTTGAAGTTTCATTATGTGTGATTCAAAAATTTAGATAATTTTACTGAGTTGGAAGAAAGTATGAAAGAAAATATAATTGAAGCAAAAACTACGAATGTTGATTAATGTGTTTTTTTACGAAACGAAGATAACAAAAAAATACATGTGGAACATTTGCTTTTTCTCCTCATTGTTATCGCCACTTATAGAGTAAGATACATAATAAAAGTATTTTCGTCTTTTTATGCTTGAGCCAGACCCTATGTCCTTTGGTCGGCGTGCGCATCTTTTATAGATAACTAAAATATGTATGATACTTATTTGCTGGCAATCGTTGACATACAATGAAGTCTAGAGGAATGCTGATCAAATAGAGGTTTTTGTTAAGAAATGGTGTTTCATTCATAATCGAAAATCGGTTGACAACTATTTCAGATTATTTGTTTGATAAAATTGTATGACCATATCGATTATCAATATGCATTTACTTGGTGCCTGATGTGTCATCGATTGAATTATGTTAACCTAGATTTATACCTAAATTGAATGATATTTTTCGCTTCTTTGGTGAGTATCACTGAGTCCTACAAAGAGATATTTCAAAGCAGAAAGAATAGAATTTCATTCACTCGTTAATTTACGTCCAAATATTTTGATATAATTATTTATTGATTCTAATACAATTGATTGTGCATTTGTTTTTAAAAACATATAACGTTATCATGATAGCAATCAATTTATTCATTTTGATGCACGAATTCCTCAAGATTTACGAAATTCTATTATTACAAATTTACAAAATATTTATCTATAAGGAATTATTCAAGATTTCGCTAATATTATCAGAAAAAAACTCCGAACTGGACTTTTTCATTTAATTTCAATGTTATACGTTAGCTTTTTTCATAATGAACTATTCACGCGCCAGGTATATACTAAATATTTTAAATAATTGTTTCTGGCATATGTATAGATTTCAGACTAACCAAAATAATGTGTGTCATTATTGAAATAATGAAAATCTTTCAATAAATTTAATTAATACTGAAAATCAAGAAAAGTTTCTTTAAGGCTTCCCTCTCTCCTAAAAGCCACTTTTCGTCAGAATGGTTGAAATTAAGATAAATGCAGGAGAAGATAGCCCGTGATCTGATCTCTCATAAGCGATAAAAATTTTTACTCGGCATCTCGTTTTTCCAAAACTTTTTGAAGATTTCCGTCACTCCCTATTCGAAAAATAAGCCATTTTTGAAAAAAACCGGAAATCTTTTTCATTTTTTCTCAATTTATGCTTTCTTGAACCTGCAAGCAGCAATTCTTTGTCCAAGCGCATTCTATATATTTAAAATTTTTTGTTTGTTTGAAAGAGCATGTCAAGATGCAGTGCGTACCAGAGCCCTTTTTTTAAATTATGCTTTACTTTTACTATATATACAAACACTTATATATATAGATACCTATTTTTGGCGTGTTTTTTGAGTCATTAAACTTGTGATCCATTTTCTCCGCTTAAAAAGTAAGAATTTAAAGAAAAAGACTCTGAGAGGCACTGCATCCTAATATGCTCTTTCCAACAAACAAAAATTTAAATATATAGAAGTAGTCTGAGCACAGAAATCTTGCTTGCTAAATGAGCTATTTTCGGTCCTTATTTGGTGAATTTCTCTGCCAAATGTCATGATATAGGGCTGAAAATGTTATCATGGCCTCTACACTACATCCCCAACATATTCTGAAAATTTCAGCCAGTTTGGATGTACCTGGACTGAGATCGGTTTTTGAGTGGAGGGGAGGCCTTAATTAAATTTTTTTACAGTGAAATACAACAAAACAATTTTTAGTTGCAAATAATAAATACATTGAACAGTTTCTTCAAAAATACAACATCGATTTTCTTTTCGTAGAACTTGACCAAAAAAAGAACATTTCCATTTTTAATCAGTATGATAAACTTTTCCCGTTAAGGGTGTAGGTGGATATCAGTGAAAACAAAACCTGTACCCAAGCCTATCACTCCTATATCCTTGACACCCAAACTCACACCATCAATGGGAATTCAGTTACCTATGATATACTTGATTGTTCACAAATAAAATTTTATCACCGACCTATTCATTCCATAAGAGAAAATACCGAAATAGAATTTGAATCTAATAATGATCAACTATTAATGAAACAACATTCACTTAAAAACTGTAGTTAGAAATAAGAAAAAGTTTCTAGTGCCTTCTAGATTTCAATTCCTATGAAATATTTTCAACATTAAATTCATCTATCAATTTTTCATACTATCTCTTCGTTAAGTATTGTGACATGCTCACTGTTAACATGAGAACATATTGAGAGGCAGAGCTTTTTGTTGTTTAGATATTGAATTTTTGATAGATTTTTCTTGCAGTACATCAATTTTTGAGTCAGATAGTACTGTTGGATATAAATCTGACACTTTGTCCACATAATGACTCTGATTAGAGCAGCTTGTTGAAAAAATTTCAGAATTTTTCTTCATAGTCTCTATGAGATATGAATCCTTGAAAATATACGAGCTGTGTCATAGTTAGGATGTATACATAAGATAGTGAGAAAACTGGATGCTTTATTATTTAATTGCTGTTTTGCTTATAATACTAGAATTTAAAGCAATATCGGATTAAGCATGATAGTTTTGGGCATATCAATACGCAACTGATTCTTTCATCATCATAATATATTTCCATTATTCGCATAGAATTATTTCTCATATACAATATCATACTGTTATACATTTCATCAAATATATCAAGGATAAAAAAATTCTTTAATTTTATTTATATGAATTATCAACATGGATTCCATTTTATTAAAGCATAACGAAACGATTTTTTATATTTAAACCTGTAAATACAAAAAAAACAGCTGAAGCAATTATAATCACATGTCTTCATATTCAGCAATTTTTATTTGTAGTAGAAAATTTAAAATAAATCTGCACTACTAAGCTTAACTTCTGAATGCTTCGATGTTTTCTAGTACACGCCAGTTAGCCTTTGTTTTTACTTTGGTCTTGTTTGACGCTATACCTAGCTCTGCAATATTATAAACTAAAGGAAATCTGTAACAATTACCACTTATGAATTGTTTTCCCATTGAATGAGAAGAATGAAGATATTTAAATGAAAAAAGACTAAATAGTACAACATTATAATTAATGAAGAATCCATCAAATATTAAGCTGAGTGTTGAAAACAATCAGGTGAGTATTCAGTGATAGTTGAAGAACAATATGAAACTCAAGAATACAAGTATTGCTTACTGAATTTGTGTGGGAAAGTTTATTTTGTGGTATTTTACTAGTTTCGCTTAATTGTACAAATTTACAATAAATTGCAATTCAACTTTATTCACACACGAATAAGCTTGCATTCATCAATATATGCCTTTTAGATCATTACTAATATGATTAATTACTTAGCACTAAATTTTTCAAGAAGACTCTTAATCTGTTTCAAATTTCGATTCAAATCAACAGTTTCATTAAGGGAGAGTCGACTTCTCCTCTCAATAGACTTTCCACTTACGCTGTTTCATCTCGGCTGAAATTTTCAGAGATGAGTGCTTCGAGATGATCTAATCTGTAGTCTTATGTTGGTGAATAGTATCCGTATAAGAGATCAGAGTTAAACTCAAGAAAGGAAAAATAGTGGTATGAGTCTTCATAAAACCCAGTACAACTACAGTATTATGAGCACTATTTGTCATTTGTTTTCTATTGATCTTTCTCATTCAAACAATATCAAAAAGGTAAGTTGCCAGATGTGTAAATAGGAATAACATCATCATTGTGATAGAGAAACCAAGTTTTTACTGTTTTTCAATCATAAAAAGAAAAAGACAAAAATAAAGATAGTTGAAAGAAAAAATTTCTCCCCTTTTTGTCTATCGATGATTAGATATGTTAACATATGAACATATATTCACCATTTCAGACTAAAAAATGATTGAATCTAAGATTTTTTTAGTTACCTTCAATGCTTTAATACAAGAAGTTTCAGATAATCTTTTTTCTTCGATATTTTATACCGTTATATCGCCACCAATGGCACGGACACGTCAGTCTTTATAAAAAAAGAGTATCTATACCTTTATATCACACAAGTAAAAAGCTTGAATAAAGCAAAAATATCATTTTTAGTTATTTATTTGAATGGATCCAGATGGACCCCTCAGACAACAACGAAAGATTAAGGAAAATATTTTTCAAGAAAATTTATGTTATAGATGATTCTACGTGACTCCAAGAGTTTATGCTGAATATTATCTTGCTTTTGCATCCAAAAATCGTTTTGATTTCGTTATACTAACACTTTAGAAAATAGAAATCTCAGTTTTTGATTGACTCATAGCATCGATCATCCTTTTTAGTGCGCAGAATCAGTATGATCAACAGTCAACTCGGTTTATACAACAACTAATAAAAGCTTGATATCCATCATATTATAGTTCTCTGAAACACTTTCAAACTACAAAAAAGGATGCTTTCTAAACCCAAATAGATTTAAAAATTGACTTTTTTTTGAGTAAAAAAGTATTGTTGTTATTTAGGGTTCAATATGGCTCGATCAGGTAGTTCCAAATATCAGCTTGATATTACAGCAAACTATGATCGTATTCGGAAGATAAATGGTGATGAAAGAGAAACCTGATTTTCAGGATGGCTCTCACTGACTTTCTGTGTTAATTGATGCATCATGAAAATTATGAGTAATGATAAATCAGATATGAACAAATTATCAGTGAAAATTTGAGATAAAAATAGATCAAAAGTCTATGTAGATTCACAAAA